CATTGGGATGGGATCCCATGATCCCCTCATGTCTTGATCAATCCATCCCTCCATCCCTCTGACCTTCCTCCTCACCTGTGGTGACATCAATGGAGACACGGTCGATCCTCTTCCCGCCCCGCAGCCCATAGAGGTGGAAGCGGTACCGGCGGGACGGGGACAGCCCCGGCACCGTCACCGAGCGGGACCCGCCATCGATGGGCAGGGCCTGGGGCTGGCCCTGGGCATCCCGGTACTGCAGTGTGAAGAAGTCAAAGGGGTCCTCGGGGACGCTCCACTGCAGCCCCACGGAGCTGGGGGTGACGTTGGAGACCCTCAGCTCTCCCAGCACTGCCTGTGCTGGGGGGGCTTCAGATGGGGGAGGCTCAGTTTGGGGGTGCTCAGGTCGGGGCTCCTCTGAGGGCAGAAGTGGCTCCTCTGGTTCAGCCGTGCCTATGATGGAGAGTGGGTGGTGATGGGCATGGCCATCCATCTCTCCATCCATATGTCCTTTCATCATCCACTGAACTATCCATCATCCATCATCCATCCATCCATCTAGATGTCCATTCACCCATCCATCCATCCATCCATGTGCCAATCCATCCATAAATATCCATTCATCCATCGATCCCATCCATCATTCAACACCCAACCCAACTTTCCACCCAATACAATCTCCATTGTTCTGACTCTTTCCCCCCACATCCCTCCAGACCTCCACCTCTACACCAGACCTCCATCCCATTACCCATGGAAAATTTTCCATGCATAAGGACAAGCATTGGGCCACCAGGAACCCTCCAGTCATCCTGGTTTCCCCACATCCATCCAACTATTCATTTACCCATCCACATTCTTCCATCCATCTGGGCAGGAACCCACTCACCATCCAGTCAGGAATCAGTTTAGGCATCCAATTCTTCATCCATTATGATGGATGATGATGATAGTGGATGGACAATGATGATGACGATGGACAGAAGATGGATGATTAATTGATGAAGATGATGGTGGAAAACAGCAGGTGTTGGTCAATAGGTAAGTGGAAGGGTTGAGGGTTGATCAGATGGTGCTGGGATCAGTGGGTTCTCAGTGATATGGGGATGGGATGGGGATTGGATCCCATCAACCTTCCATTCCCTGATCAATCCAGCCCACTGATCTTCCCCCTCACCTGTGGCGACATCAATGGAGACGCGGTCGATCCTCTTCCCGTTCTGCAGCCCGTAGAGGTGGAAGCGGTACCGGCGGGACGGGGACAGCCCAGACACCGTCACCGAGCGGGACCCGCCATCGATGGGCAGGGCCTGGGGTTGGCCCTGGGCATCCCGGTACTGCAGTGTGAAGGAGTCAAAGGGGCCCTCGGGGACGCTCCACTGCAGTCCCACGGAGCTGGGGGTGACACTGGAGACCTTCAGCTCCCCCAGCACTGCTCGTGTCGGTGAGGTCTCAGATGGGGGAGGTTCAGTTTGGGGGCGTTCAGGTGTGGGCTCCTCTGGGGGTGGTGGTGGCTTCTCTTGCTCAGCTGTGGTTGTGACATGTGGGATAGGGATGGGTGTGGCCATCCACATGTCCATCCATCACCCACCCAATTATCCATCATTTATCAACCATCCATCCATGTGCCAATCCATCCATAAACAG